CGCTCAGTGCGGATAAACGATCCTCTAGCACCGCCTTCTCGCGCGGCGCCACACGCTCGTCTCGTCCGCGAGCACAGCCGCCGCCCGCTCAGTTCTGATAAACGATCCTCTAGCAACGCCTTCTCGCGCATCGCCACGCGCCCGTCTCCTCCGCGAGAGACTCTGCCACCCGCTTAGTGCCGATAAACGATCCTCTAGCACCGCCTTCTTGCGCGGCGACACACGCCCGTCTCCTTCGCGAACGCGGCCGCCGAGGCATCCTTCTGCGTCTGAACCTTTGTTACCGCGCGCTCAGTGCTGATAAAGATCTTCTAGCAACGCCTTCTCGCGCGGCGCCACCCTCCTTTTCTCCGCGAGCGCAGCCGCCGCCCGCTCAGTGCGGATAAACGATCCTCTAGCACCGCCCTCTTGCGCGGCGCCACGCACCCGTCTCCTCCGTGAGCGCAGCTGCCGCTCGCTCAGTGTTGATAACGATCTTCCAGCAACGCCTTCTCGCGCGGCGCCACCCTCCGTTTTCTCCGCGAGAGCAGCTGCCGCCCGCTCAGTGCCAATAAACGATCCTCTAGCAACACCTTCTTGCGCGGCGCCACGCGCCCGTCTCCTCCGCGAACGCGGCCGCCGTGGCATCCTTCTGCGTCTGAACCTCTGCTACCGCGCGCTCAGTGCCGATAAACGATCTTCTATCAACGCCACCCTCCGTCTCCTCCGCGAGCGCAGCCTCCGCCCGCTCAGTGACGATAAACGATCCTCTACCACCGCCTTCTCGCACGGCGCCACGCGCCTGTCTCATCCGCGAGCGCAGCCGCCGGTCGCTCAGTGCCGAAAAACGATCCTCTAGAAACTCCTTCTCGCGCGGCGCCACACATCCTTCTCCTTCGCGAGCGCAGCCGCCGCCCGATCAGTGGCAATAAATGATCCTCTAGCATCGCCTTCTTGCGCGGCGCCACACGTCCGTCTCCTCCGCGAGAGCAGCCGCCGCGCGCTCAGTGCGGATAAACGATTCTCTACTACCGCCTTCTCGCACGGCGCCACGCACCCGTCTCCTCCGCGAGAGCAGCTGCCGCCCGCTCAGTGCCAATAAACGATCCTCTAGCAACACCTTCTTGCGCGGCGCCACGCGCCCGTCTCCTCCGCGAACGCGGCTGCCGTGGCATCCTTCTGCGTCTAAACCGCTGCTACCGCGCGCTCAGTGCCGATAAACGATCTTCTATCAACGCCACCCTCCGTCTCCTCCGCGAGCGCAGCCTCCGCCCGCTCAGTGCGGATAAACGATCCTCTACCACCGCCTTCTCGCGCGGCGCCACGCGCCTGTCTCATCCGCGAGCGCAGCCGCCGGTCGCTCAGTGCCGAAAAACGATCCTCTAGAAACTCCTTCTCGCCCCGGCGCCACACATCCTTCTCCTTCGCGAGCACAGCCGCCGCCCGATCAGTGGCAATAAATGATCCTCTAGCATCGCCTTCTTGCGCGGCGCCACACGTCCGTCTCCTCCGCGAGAGCAGCCGCCGCGCGCTCAGTGCGGATAAACGATTCTCTACTACCGCCTTCTCGCACGGCGCCACGCACCCGTCTCCTCCGCGAGAGCAGCTGCCGCCCGCTCAGTGCCAATAAACGATCCTCTAGCAACACCTTCTTGCGCGGCGCCACGCGCCCGTCTCCTCCGCGAACGCGGCCGCCGTGGCATCCTTCTGCGTCTAAACCTCTGCTACCGCGCGCTCAGTGCCGATAAACGATCTTCTATCAACGCCACCCTCCGTCTCCTCCGCGAGCGCAGCCTCCGCCCGCTCAGTGCGGATAAACGATCCTCTACCACCGCCTTCTCGCGCGGCGCCACGCGCCTGTCTCATCCGCGAGCGCAGCCGCTGGTCGCTCAGTACCAATATACGATCCTCTAGCATCGCCTTCTTGCGCGGCGCCACGGACCCGTCGCCTTCGCGAACGCAGCCACCGCGGTGGCATCGTTCTGCATCTGAATTTCTGCTGCCGCGCGCTCAGTGCCGATAAAAGATCATTTATCAACGCCTTCTCGCGCGGCGCCACCCTCCGTTTCCTCCGCGAGCGCAGCCGCCGCCCGCTTAGTGCCGATAAACGATCCTCTAGCACCGCCTTCTCGCGTGGCGCCACCCTCCGTTTCCTCCGCTAGCGCTGCCGCTGCCCGCTCAGTGCCAATAAACGATCTTCTAGCATCGCCTTCTCGCGCGGCGCCACGCGCTTGTTCTTCCGCGAACGCAGTCGCCGCGGCATCCTTCTGCGTCTGAACCTCTGCTGCCGCGCGCTCAGTGCCAATAAATGATCTTCTAGCAACGACTTCTCGCGCGGCGCCACGCGCCCGTCTCCTCCGCGAGCGCAGCCGCCGCCCGCTTAGTGCCGATAAACGATCCTCTAGCAACGACTTCTCGCGCGGCGCCACGCGCCCGTCTCCTCCGCGAGCGCAGCCGACGCCCGCTTAGTGCCGATAAACGATCCTCTAGCACCGCCTTCTCGCGTGGCGCCACACATCCGTCTCCTCCGCGAGCGCAGACGCTGCCCGCTCAGTGCCAATAAACGATCCTCTAGCATCGCCTTCTTGCGCGGCGCCACGCGCCCGTCTCCTCCGCGAACGCAGTTACCGAGGCTTCCTTCTGCATCTGAACCTCCACAGCCTCGCGCTCAGTGCAATTAAACGATTCTCTATCAACGCCCTTTGCGCGCGATGCCACAAGTCCGTCTCCTCCGCGAGCGCAGACGCCGCCCGCTCAGTGCCGACAAATGATCTTCTAGCAACGACTTCTCGCGCGGCGCCACGCCCCCGTCTCCTCCGCGAGCGCAGCCGCCGCCCGCTTAGTGCCGATAAACGATCCTCTAGCACCGCCTTCTCGCGTGGCGCCACACATCCGTCTCCTCCGCGAGCGCAGACGCTGCCCGCTCAGTGCCAATAAACGATCCTCTAGCATCGCCTTCTTGCGCGGCGCCACGCGCCCGTCTCCTCCGCGAGAGCAGTTACCGATGCTTCCTTCTGCATCTGAACCTCCACAGCCTCGCGCTCAGTTCAATTAAACGATTCTCTATCAACGCCCTTCGCGCGCGATGCCACAAGTCCGTCTCCTCCGCGAGCGCAGACGCCGCCCGCTCAGTGCCGACAAATGGTCGTCTAGCATCGCCTTCTTGCGCAGCGCCACGCGTCCGTCTCTCCCGCAAACGCGGCCGCTGTGGCATCCTTCTGCGTCTGAAGCTCTACAGCCGCGCGCTTAGTACCGATAAACGATCCTCACGCACTGACTTCTCGCTCCACAGGGCACTTATCTCGTCACCCGCCTCAACATTCGACGATGCCAGTTTTGCCTTCTCGGCATGCAGTTGCTTCGTCAGGAAAGCAGCTCGCTCTCAAGCTTCGACGAATGATGAAGACGTGAGGTGTTGTATAAGTTGGCGCCCCTCACAATAAACACGAGAGCGCTCTGTCTACCCTTTCTTTCAATGATGAAGAGAATACTTAGAAGAGATTGAATTACGGGTTTTTCTCTTCCTGTCAATGATGAAGAAAAGATTCCTTCCTGTCAATGATAAAGAGAAGATTAGAAAGAGACTGGAACAGACTGATACAGAGCTTACATCAGCAAAAAAAGTCGCGATTTGCTGCTACGACGCTCTTAAATGCCAACGGCTTACATCCGTCCTAGTTTTTAGAAAAGAGATCACAAATCGTCAATTCAAAGCTATTTTATTTTTTGCATTTTTACACTCTGGGAAAGTAGAGCTAGTATAAAATGGTACAAGTCAGCTATTGTTTTACATCAAATGTGCAGCTGGACACTAGAAATCGTGAGCGATACTTCAAAGCAAAATATGTTTTTGTGACACTTAACCTCCCCTTACAGCAAATGGGTAGGTAATCAATATGTGAAAATCTACTAGTGTGCAAACTAATACCCTTGCATACGGTCCAAAACATGCCGTAATGACCGTCGTGCGTCGGACTCCTTTTTTTTACCCTTCAGCTTGGCTTTGTCTCGTGCACCACCTCCTACATGCGTTTCACAAATAAAGTCGACGATGACAGCGACTTTTGGGCAATTGTGATCTGGGGACTTAGCGCACTGAAAGTAGATTATTCGTGCAACGTAGCAGCTCAACTGTGTCAAATTTACCGATAATACCACCGCCATGATGATGATGGTGTCCATTTTTCCAAGCAGACCATCGGTGTTGTTATCATCGCTCGACCGAATAGACTTGCATGTTTGTCGTCGGATCGTATTACCAGCGATCGCGCCTGCTCTAAAATTTGCCTTGGATACACTGTTTGCTGAGTCCTCTTTGCGATTTTTCAATCGGCCCAGTCCCCGCTACCCAGTATTTCTGCGCGTTTCATGACTGCTTTTTTTGATACCAACGAGTTTAAGGAATTCATGGTTTCTCAGATCCGGTGAATACTTATCAAGCGAGCCACAAAGCTTCAACAAACTGCAATTCTTCACGGTTTGTCGACATGCGTGCTAGCTCTGCTTGAATTAGGCCTGCAACTCATCACGTTTGGACTCACACAACTTGCGGCTCTTTGACGCCTCTTGGATCCAAAATTGGTACAGAATGTTTGTTGTCATGTACCCTTCCTTCTCTTTACAGAGATACTCAAGCGCTTCGGCACGAGGTCCTTCCAGATGTGGGTTTTGCCATGGATTACTGCCTGATCTCATTGACGGTTCGCCATCTGCACGCTTCTCATTCTGGTCTTCTTCGAGCCTGCGCAGGTTCACTTCGGCTCGACTATACCGCAGGCGTTGGCTTCAAGTGCCTTCTTACAGGCTCCTCTACAAGCTGGATCTACGTCCGTTGTGTTGATCACTGACCGCAAAGCATTCATTTCTGTCCAAAACGGCTCCATATCCTGCTGAATAGCCTCCATGTTGCTACGTAACTTGGCTGTTTCTTCGTTGTGACTCTCGAAATTACCCTGTAGCACTTGCTCTTGAGTTTCGCCTGCAATTTCTCTACTTCCTTTTCCAACTCCGGCACTAGCTCTTCATTTTCCTGCACTTTTGCCCAAATTGTTCTTCTGTTTCTTTAGCTCTTTCTTCTGCGTTGACTGCAGCTCCTTCTGCTGTTCCTTGGCGTATTTTAGCTCTTCTCGCAACTTCGCTTCTTGCTTTTCAAAGTCAGCGTATTTCGACTTTGTCTCGTCCACTTGTTTGGCAAGCTCTTCACTCGTTGGTACAAAGCTTCAACAAACTGCAATTCTTCACGGTTTGTCGACATGCGTGCTAGCTCTGCTTGAATTAGGCCTGCAACTCATCACGTTTAGACTCACACAACTTGCGGTTCTTTGACGCCTCTTGGATCCAAAATTGGTACAGAATGTTTGTTGTCATGTACCCTTCCTTCTCTTTACAGAGATACTCAAGCGCTTCGGCACGAAATCCTTCCAGATGTGGGTTTTGCCATGAATTACTGCCTGATCTCATTGACGGTTCGCCATCTGCACGCTTCTCATTCTGGTCTTCTTCGAGCCTGCGCAGGTTCACTTCGGCTCGACTATACCGCAGGCGTTGGCTTCAAGTGCCTTCTTACAGGCTCCTCTACAAGCTGGATCTACGTCCGTTGTGTTGATCACTGACCGCAAAGCATTCATTTCTGTCCAAAACGGCTCCATATCCTGCTGAATAGCCTCCATGTTGCTACGTAACTTGGCTGTTTCTTCGTTGTGACTCTCGAAAATACCCTGTAGCACTTGCTCTTGAGTTTCGCCTGCAATTTCTCTACTTCCTTTTCCAACTCCGGCACTAGCTCTTCATTTTCCTGCACTTTTGCCCAAATTGTTCTTCTGTTTCTTTAGCTCTTTCTTCTGCATTGACTGCAGCTCCTTCTGCTGTTCCTTGGCGTATGTTAGCTCTTCTCGCAACTTCGCTTCTTGCTTTTCAAAGTCAGCGTATTTCGACTTTGTCTCGTCCACTTGTTTGGCAAGCTCTTCACTCGTTGGTACAAAGCTTCAACAAACTGCAATTCTTCACGGTTTGTCGACATGCGTGCTAGCTCTGCTTGAATTAGGCCTGCAACTCATCACGTTTAGACTCACACAACTTGCGGTTCTTTGACGCCTCTTGGATCCAAAATTGGTACAGAATGTTTGTTGTCATGTACCCTTCCTTCTCTTTACAGAGATACTCAAGCGCTTCGGCACGAAATCCTTCCAGATGTGGGTTTTGCCATGAATTACTGCCTGATCTCATTGACGGTTCGCCATCTGCACGCTTCTCATTCTGGTCTTCTTCGAGCCTGCGCAGGTTCACTTCGGCTCGACTATACCGCAGGCGTTGGCTTCAAGTGCCTTCTTACAGGCTCCTCTACAAGCTGGATCTACGTCCGTTGTGCTGATCACTGACCGCAAAGCATTCATTTCTGTCCAAAACGGCTCCATATCCTGCTGAATAGCCTCCATGTTGCTACGTAACTTGGCTGTTTCTTCGTTGTGACTCTCGAAAATACCCTGTAGCACTTGCTCTTGAGTTTCGCCTGCAATTTCTCTACTTCCTTTTCCAACTCCGGCACTAGCTCTTCATTTTCCTGCACTTTTTGCCCAAATTGTTCTTCTGTTTCTTTAGCTCTTTCTTCTGCATTGACTGCAGCTCCTTCTGCTGTTCCTTGGGCGTATTTTAGCTCTTCTCGCAACTTCGCTTCTTGCTTTTCAAAGTCAGCGTATTTCGACTTTGTCTCGTCCACTTGTTTGGCAAGCTCTTCACTCGTTGGTACAAAGCTTCAACAGACTGCAATTCTTCACGGTTTTTCGACATGCGTGCTAGCTCTGCTTGAATTAGGCCTGCAACTCATCACGTTTAGACTCACACAACTTGCGGTTCTTTGACGCCTCTTGGATCCAAAATTGGTACAGAATGTTTGTTGTCATGTACCCTTCCTTCTCTTTACGGAGATACTCAAGCGCTTCGGCACGAGGTCCTTCCAGATGTGGGTTTTGCCATAAATTACTGCCTGATCTCATTGACGGTTCGCCATCTGCACGCTTCTCATTCTGGTCTTCTTCGAGCCTGCGCAGGTTCACTTCGGCTCGACTATACCGCAGGCGTTGGCTTCAAGTGCCTTCTTACAGGCTCCTCTACAAGCTGGATCTACGTCCGTTGTGCTGATCACTGACCGCAAAGCATTCATTTCTGTCCAAAACGGCTCCATATCCTGCTGAATAGCCTCCATGTTGCTACGTAACTTGGCTGTTTCTTCGTTGTGACTCTCGAAAATACCCTGTAGCACTTGCTCTTGAGTTTCGCCTGCAATTTCTCTACTTCCTTTTCCAACTCCGGCACTAGCTCCTCATTTTCCTGCACTTTTTGCCCAAATTGTTCTTCTGTTTCTTTAGCTCTTTCTTCTGCATTGACTGCAGCTCCTTCTGCTGTTCCTTGGCGTATGTTAGCTCTTCTCGCAACTTCGCTTCTTGCTTTTCAAAGTCAGCGTATTTCGACTTTGTCTCGTCCACTTGTTTGGCAAGCTCTTCACTCGTTGGTACAAAGCTTCAACAAACTGCAATTCTTCACGGTTTGTCGACATGCGTGCTAGCTCTGCTTGAATTAGGCCTGCAACTCATCACGTTTAGACTCACACAACTTGCGGTTCTTTGACGCCTCTTGGATCCAAAATTGGTACAGAATGTTTGTTGTCATGTACCCTTCCTTCTCTTTACGGAGATACTCAAGCGCTTCGGCACGAGGTCCTTCCAGATGTGGGTTTTGCCATGGATTACTGCCTGATCTCATTGACGGTTCGCCATCTGCACGCTTCTCATTCTGGTCTTCTTCGAGCCTGCGCAGGTTCACTTCAGGCTCGACTATACCGCAGGCGTTGGCTTCAAGTGCCTTCTTACAGGCTCCTCTACAAGCTGGATCTACGTCCGTTGTGCTGATCACTGACCGCAAAGCATTCATTTCTGTCCAAAACGGCTCCATATCCTGCTGAATAGCCTCCATGTTGCTACGTAACTTGGCTGTTTCTTCGTTGTGACTCTCGAAAATACCCTGTAGCACTTGCTCTTGAGTTTCGCCTGCAATTTCTCTACTTCCTTTTCCAACTCCGGCACTAGCTCTTTATTTTCGTGCACTTTTTGCCCAAATTGTTCTTCTGTTTCTTTAGCTCTTTCTTCTGCATTGACTGCAGCTCCTTCTGCTGTTCCTTGGCGTATTTTAGCTCTTCTCGCAACTTCGCTTCTTGCTTTTCAAAGTCAGCGTATTTCGACTTTGTCTCGTCCACTTGTTTGGCAAGCTCTTCACTCGTTGGTACAAAGCTTCAACAAACTGCAATTCTTCACGGTTTGTCGACATGCGTGCTAGCTCTGCTTGAATTAGGCCTGCAACTCATCACGTTTGGACTCACACAACTTGCGGTTCTTTGACGCCTCTTGGATCCAAAATTGGTACAGAATGTTTGTTGTCATGTACCCTTCCTTCTCTTTACGGAGATACTCAAGCGCTTCGGCACGAGGTCCTTCCAGATGTGGGTTTTGCCATGGATTACTGCCTGATCTCATTGACGGTTCGCCATCTGCACGCTTCTCATTCTGGTCTTCTTCGAGCCTGCGCAGGTTCACTTCGGCTCGACTATACCGCAGGCGTTGGCTTCAAGTGCCTTCTTACAGGCTCCTCTACAAGCTGGATCTACGTCCGTTGTGTTGATCACTGACCGCAAAGCATTCATTTCTGTCCAAAACGGCTCCATATCCTGCTGAATAGCCTCCATGTTGCTACGTAACTTGGCTGTTTCTTCGTTGTGACTCTCGAAAATACCCTGTAGCACTTGCTCTTGAGTTTCGCCTGCAATTTCTCTACTTCCTTTTCCAACTCCGGCACTAGCTCTTCATTTTCCTGCACTTTTTGCCCAAATTGTTCTTCTGTTTCTTTAGCTCTTTCTTCTGCATTGACTGCAGCTCCTTCTGCTGTTCCTTGGCGTATTTTAGCTCTTCTCGCAACTTCGCTTCTTGCTTTTCAAAGTCAGCGTATTTCGACTTTGTCTCGTCCACTTGTTTGGCAAGCTCTTCACTCGTTGGTACAAAGCTTCAACAGACTGCAATTCTTCACGGTTTGTCGACATGCGTGCTAGCTCTGCTTGAATTAGGCCTGCAACTCATCACGTTTAGACTCACACAACTTGCGGTTCTTTGACGCCTCTTGGATCCAAAATTGGTACAGAATGTTTGTTGTCATGTACCCTTCCTTCTCTTTACAGAGATACTCAAGCGCTTCGGCACGAAATCCTTCCAGATGTGGGTTTTGCCATGGATTACTGCCTGATCTCATTGACGGTTCGCCATCTGCACGCTTCTCATTCTGGTCTTCTTCGAGCCTGCGCAGGTTCACTTCGGCTCGACTATACCGCAGGCGTTGGCTTCAAGTGCCTTCTTACAGGCTCCTCTACAAGCTGGATCTACGTCCGTTGTGTTGATCACTGACCGCAAAGCATTCATTTCTGTCCAAAACGGCTCCATATCCTGCTGAATAGCCTCCATGTTGCTACGTAACTTGGCTGTTTCTTCGTTGTGACTCTCGAAAATACCCTGTAGCACTTGCTCTTGAGTTTCGCCTGCAATTTCTCAACCTCCTTTTCCAATTCCGGCACTAGCTCCTCATTTTCCTGCACTTTTTGCCCAAATTGTTCTTCTGTTTCTTTAGCTCTTTCTTCTGCATTGACTGCAGCTCCTTCTGCTGTTCCTTGGCGTATTTTAGCTCTTCTCGCAACTTCGCTTCTTGCTTTTCAAAGTCAGCGTATTTCGACTTTGTCTCGTCCACTTGTTTGGCAAGCTCTTCACTCGTTGGTACAAAGCTTCAACAAACTGCAATTCTTCACGGTTTGTCGACATGCGTGCTAGCTCTGCTTGAATTAGGCCTGCAACTCATCACGTTTAGACTCACACAACTTGCGGTTCTTTGACGCCTCTTGGATCCAAAATTGGTACAGAATGTTTGTTGTCATGTACCCTTCCTTCTCTTTACAGAGATACTCAAGCGCTTCGGCACGAAATCCTTCCAGATGTGGGTTTTGCCATGGATTACTGCCTGATCTCATTGACGGTTCGCCATCTGCACGCTTCTCATTCTGGTCTTCTTCGAGCCTGCGCAGGTTCCCTTCGGCTCGACTATACCGCAGGCGTTGGCTTCAAGTGCCTTCTTACAGGCTCCTCTACAAGCTGGATCTACGTCCGTTGTGCTGATCACTGACCGCAAAGCATTCATTTCTGTCCAAAACGGCTCCATATCCTGCTGAATAGCCTCCATGTTGCTACGTAACTTGGCTGTTTCTTCGTTGTGACTCTCGAAAATACCCTGTAGCACTTGCTCTTGAGTTTCGCCTGCAATTTCTCAACCTCCTTTTCCAACTCCGGCACTAGCTCTTCATTTTCGTGCACTTTTTGCCCAAATTGTTCTTCTGTTTCTTTAGCTCTTTCTTCTGCATTGACTGCAGCTCCTTCTGCTGTTCCTTGGCGTATTTTAGCTCTTCTCGCAACTTCGCTTCTTGCTTTTCAAAGTCAGCGTATTTCGACTTTGTCTCGTCCACTTGTTTGGCAAGCTCTTCACTCGTTGGTACAAAGCTTCAACAAACTGCAATTCTTCACGGTTTGTCGACATGCGTGCTAGCTCTGCTTGAATTAGGCCTGCAACTCATCACGTTTAGACTCACACAACTTGCGGTTCTTTGACGCCTCTTGGATCCAAAATTGGTACAGAATGTTTGTTGTCATGTACCCTTCCTTCTCTTTACAGAGATACTCAAGCGCTTCGGCACGAGGTCCTTCCAGATGTGGGTTTTGCCATGGATTACTGCCTGATCTCATTGACGGTTCGCCATCTGCACGCTTCTCATTCTGGTCTTCTTCGAGCCTGCGCAGGTTCACTTCGGCTCGACTATACCGCAGGCGTTGGCTTCAAGTGCCTTCTTACAGGCTCCTCTACAAGCTGGATCTACGTCCGTTGTGCTGATCACTGACCGCAAAGCATTCATTTCTGTCCAAAACGGCTCCATATCCTGCTGAATAGCCTCCATGTTGCTACGTAACTTGGCTGTTTCTTCGTTGTGACTCTCGAAAATACCCTGTAGCACTTGCTCTTGAGTTTCGCCTGCAATTTCTCAACCTCCTTTTCCAACTCCGGCACTAGCTCCTCATTTTCCTGCACTTTTTGCCCAAATTGTTCTTCTGTTTCTTTAGCTCTTTCTTCTGCATTGACTGCAGCTCCTTCTGCTGTTCCTTGGCGTATTTTAGCTCTTCTCGCAACTTCGCTTCTTGCTTTTCAAAGTCAGCGTATTTCGACTTTGTCTCGTCCACTTGTTTGGCAAGCTCTTCACTCGTTGGTACAAAGCTTCAACAAACTGCAATTCTTCACGGTTTGTCGACATGCGTGCTAGCTCTGCTTGAATTAGGCCTGCAACTCATCACGTTTAGACTCACACAACTTGCGGTTCTTTGACGCCTCTTGGATCCAAAATTGGTACAGAATGTTTGTTGTCATGTACCCTTCCTTCTCTTTACGGAGATACTCAAGCGCTTCGGCACGAGATCCTTCCAGATGTGGGTTTTGCCATGGATTACTGCCTGATCTCATTGACGGTTCGCCATCTGCACGCTTCTCATTCTGGTCTTCTTCGAGCCTGCGCAGGTTCACTTCGGCTCGACTATACCGCAGGCGTTGGCTTCAAGTGCCTTCTTACAGGCTCCTCTACAAGCTGGATCTACGTCCGTTGTGTTGATCACTGACCGCAAAGCATTCATTTCTGTCCAAAACGGCTCCATATCCTGCTGAATAGCCTCCATGTTGCTACGTAACTTGGCTGTTTCTTCGTTGTGACTCTCGAAAATACCCTGTAGCACTTGCTCTTGAGTTTCGCCTGCAATTTCTCTACTTCCTTTTCCAACTCCGGCACTAGCTCCTCATTTTCGTGCACTTTTTGCCCAAATTGTTCTTCTGTTTCTTTAGCTCTTTCTTCTGCATTGACTGCAGCTCCTTCTGCTGTTCCTTGGCGTATTTTAGCTCTTCTCGCAACTTCGCTTCTTGCTTTTCAAAGTCAGCGTATTTCGACTTTGTCTCGTCCACTTGTTTGGCAAGCTCTTCACTCGTTGGTACAAAGCTTCAACAAACTGCAATTCTTCACGGTTTGTCGACATGCGTGCTAGCTCTGCTTGAATTAGGCCTGCAACTCATCACGTTTAGACTCACACAACTTGCGGTTCTTTGACGCCTCTTGGATCCAAAATTGGTACAGAATGTTTGTTGTCATGTACCCTTCCTTCTCTTTACGGAGATACTCAAGCGCTTCGGCACGAAATCCTTCCAGATGTGGGTTTTGCCATGGATTACTGCCTGATCTCATTGACGGTTCGCCATCTGCACGCTTCTCATTCTGGTCTTCTTCGAGCCTGCGCAGGTTCACTTCGGCTCGACTATACCGCAGGCGTTGGCTTCAAGTGCCTTCTTACAGGCTCCTCTACAAGCTGGATCTACGTCCGTTGTGCTGATCACTGACCGCAAAGCATTCATTTCTGTCCAAAACGGCTCCATATCCTGCTGAATAGCCTCCATGTTGCTACGTAACTTGGCTGTTTCTTCGTTGTGACTCTCGAAAATACCCTGTAGCACTTGCTCTTGAGTTTCGCCTGCAATTTCTCAACCTCCTTTTCCAACTCCGGCACTAGCTCTTCATTTTCGTGCACTTTTTGCCCAAATTGTTCTTCTGTTTCTTTAGCTCTTTCTTCTGCATTGACTGCAGCTCCTTCTGCTGTTCCTTGGCGTATTTTAGCTCTTCTCGCAACTTCGCTTCTTGCTTTTCAAAGTCAGCGTATTTCGACTTTGTCTCGTCCACTTGTTTGGCAAGCTCTTCACTCGTTGGTACAAAGCTTCAACAAACTGCAATTCTTCACGGTTTGTCGACATGCGTGCTAGCTCTGCTTGAATTAGGCCTGCAACTCATCACGTTTAGACTCACACAACTTGCGGTTCTTTGACGCCTCTTGGATCCAAAATTGGTACAGAATGTTTGTTGTCATGTACCCTTCCTTCTCTTTACGGAGATACTCAAGCGCTTCGGCACGAGGTCCTTCCAGATGTGGGTTTTGCCATGGATTACTGCCTGATCTCATTGACGGTTCGCCATCTGCACGCTTCTCATTCTGGTCTTCTTCGAGCCTGCGCAGGTTCACTTCGGCTCGACTATACCGCAGGCGTTGGCTTCAAGTGCCTTCTTACAGGCTCCTCTACAAGCTGGATCTACGTCCGTTGTGCTGATCACTGACCGCAAAGCATTCATTTCTGTCCAAAACGGCTCCATATCCTGCTGAATAGCCTCCATGTTGCTACGTAACTTGGCTGTTTCTTCGTTGTGACTCTCGAAAATACCCTGTAGCACTTGCTCTTGAGTTTCGCCTGCAATTTCTCTACTTCCTTTTCCAACTCCGGCACTAGCTCCTCATTTTCGTGCACTTTTTGCCCAAATTGTTCTTCTGTTTCTTTAGCTCTTTCTTCTGCATTGACTGCAGCTCCTTCTGCTGTTCCTTGGCGTATTTTAGCTCTTCTCGCAACTTCGCTTCTTGCTTTTCAAAGTCAGCGTATTTCGACTTTGTCTCGTCCACTTGTTTGGCAAGCTCTTCACTCGTTGGTACAAAGCTTCAACAAACTGCAATTCTTCACGGTTTGTCGACATGCGTGCTAGCTCTGCTTGAATTAGGCCTGCAACTCATCACGTTTAGACTCACACAACTTGCGGTTCTTTGACGCCTCTTGGATCCAAAATTGGTACAGAATGTTTGTTGTCATGTACCCTTCCTTCTCTTTACGGAGATACTCAAGCGCTTCGGCACGAGGTCCTTCCAGATGTGGGTTTTGCCATGGATTACTGCCTGATCTCATTGACGGTTCGCCATCTGCACGCTTCTCATTCTGGTCTTCTTCGAGCCTGCGCAGGTTCACTTCGGCTCGACTATACCGCAGGCGTTGGCTTCAAGTGCCTTCTTACAGGCTCCTCTACAAGCTGGATCTACGTCCGTTGTGCTGATCACTGACCGCAAAGCATTCATTTCTGTCCAAAACGGCTCCATATCCTGCTGAATAGCCTCCATGTTGCTACGTAACTTGGCTGTTTCTTCGTTGTGACTCTCGAAAATACCCTGTAGCACTTGCTCTTGAGTTTCGCCTGCAATTTCTCTACTTCCTTTTCCAACTCCGGCACTAGCTCCTCATTTTCGTGCACTTTTTGCCCAAATTGTTCTTCTGTTTCTTTAGCTCTTTCTTCTGCATTGACTGCAGCTCCTTCTGCTGTTCCTTGGCGTATTTTAGCTCTTCTCGCAACTTCGCTTCTTGCTTTTCAAAGTCAGCGTATTTCGACTTTGTCTCGTCCACTTGTTTGGCAAGCTCTTCACTCGTTGGTACAAAGCTTCAACAAACTGCAATTCTTCACGGTTTGTCGACATGCGTGCTAGCTCTGCTTGAATTAGGCCTGCAACTCATCACGTTTAGACTCACACAACTTGCGGTTCTTTGACGCCTCTTGGATCCAAAATTGGTACAGAATGTTTGTTGTCATGTACCCTTCCTTCTCTTTACAGAGATACTCAAGCGCTTCGGCACGAAATCCTTCCAGATGTGGGTTTTGCCATGAATTACTGCCTGATCTCATTGACGGTTCGCCATCTGCACGCTTCTCATTCTGGTCTTCTTCGAGCCTGCGCAGGTTCACTTCGGCTCGACTATACCGCAGGCGTTGGCTTCAAGTGCCTTCTTACAGGCTCCTCTACAAGCTGGATCTACGTCCGTTGTGCTGATCACTGACCGCAAAGCATTCATTTCTGTCCAAAACGGCTCCATATCCTGCTGAATAGCCTCCATGTTGCTACGTAACTTGGCTGTTTCTTCGTTGTGACTCTCGAAAATACCCTGTAGCACTTGCTCTTGAGTTTCGCCTGCAATTTCTCAACCTCCTTTTCCAACTCCGGCACTAGCTCTTCATTTTCGTGCACTTTTTGCCCAAATTGTTCTTCTGTTTCTTTAGCTCTTTCTTCTGCATTGACTGCAGCTCCTTCTGCTGTTCCTTGGCGTATTTTAGCTCTTCTCGCAACTTCGCTTCTTGCTTTTCAAAGTCAGCGTATTTCGACTTTGTCTCGTCCACTTGTTTGGCAAGCTCTTCACTCGTTGGTACAAAGCTTCAACAAACTGCAATTCTTCACGGTTTGTCGACATGCGTGCTAGCTCTGCTTGAATTAGGCCTGCAACTCATCACGTTTAGACTCACACAACTTGCGGTTCTTTGACGCCTCTTGGATCCAAAATTGGTACAGAATGTTTGTTGTCATGTACCCTTCCTTCTCTTTACAGAGATACTCAAGCGCTTCGGCACGAAATCCTTCCAGATGTGGGTTTTGCCATGGATTACTGCCTGATCTCATTGACGGTTCGCCATCTGCACGCTTCTCATTCTGGTCTTCTTCGAGCCTGCGCAGGTTCACTTCGGCTCGACTATACCGCAGGCGTTGGCTTCAAGTGCCTTCTTACAGGCTCCTCTACAAGCTGGATCTACGTCCGTTGTGCTGATCACTGACCGCAAAGCATTCATTTCTGTCCAAAACGGCTCCATATCCTGCTGAATAGCCTCCATGTTGCTACGTAACTTGGCTGTTTCTTCGTTGTGACTCTCGAAAATACCCTGTAGCACTTGCTCTTGAGTTTCGCCTGCAATTTCTCAACCTCCTTTTCCAACTCCGGCACTAGCTCTTCATTTTCGTGCACTTTTTGCCCAAATTGTTCTTCTGTTTCTTTAGCTCTTTCTTCTGCATTGACTGCAGCTCCTTCTGCTGTTCCTTGGCGTATTTTAGCTCTTCTCGCAACTTCGCTTCTTGCTTTTCAAAGTCAGCGTATTTCGACTTTGTCTCGTCCACTTGTTTGGCAAGCTCTTCACTCGTTGGTACAAAGCTTCAACAAACTGCAATTCTTCACGGTTTGTCGACATGCGTGCTAGCTCTGCTTGAATTAGGCCTGCAACTCATCACGTTTAGACTCACACAACTTGCGGTTCTTTGACGCCTCTTGGATCCAAAATTGGTACAGAATGTTTGTTGTCATGTACCCTTCCTTCTCTTTACGGAGATACTCAAGCGCTTCGGCACGAAATCCTTCCAGATGTGGGTTTTGCCATGGATTACTGCCTGATCTCATTGACGGTTCGCCATCTGCACGCTTCTCATTCTGGTCTTCTTCGAGCCTGCGCAGGTTCACTTCGGCTCGACTATACCGCAGGCGTTGGCTTCAAGTGCCTTCTTACAGGCTCCTCTACAAGCTGGATCTACGTCCGTTGTGTTGATCACTGACCGCAAAGCATTCATTTCTGTCCAAAACGGCTCCATATCCTGCTGAATAGCCTCCATGTTGCTACGTAACTTGGCTGTTTCTTCGTTGTGACTCTCGAAAATACCCTGTAGCACTTGCTCTTGAGTTTCGCCTGCAATTTCTCAACCTCCTTTTCCAACTCCGGCACTAGCTCTTCATTTTCGTGCACTTTTTGCCCAAATTGTTCTTCTGTTTCTTTAGCTCTTTCTTCTGCATTGACTGCAGCTCCTTCTGCTGTTCCTTGGCGTATTTTAGCTCTTCTCGCAACTTCGCTTCTTGCTTTTCAAAGTCAGCGTATTTCGACTTTGTCTCGTCCACTTGTTTGGCAAGCTCTTCACTCGTTGGTACAAAGCTTCAACAAACTGCAATTCTTCACGGTTTGTCGACATGCGTGCTAGCTCTGCTTGAATTAGGCCTGCAACTCATCACGTTTAGACTCACACAACTTGCGGTTCTTTGACGCCTCTTGGATCCAAAATTGGTACAGAATGTTTGTTGTCATGTACCCTTCCTTCTCTTTACAGAGATACTCAAGCGCTTCGGCACGAAATCCTTCCAGATGTGGGTTTTGCCATGGATTACTGCCTGATCTCATTGACGGTTCGCCATCTGCACGCTTCTCATTCTGGTCTTCTTCGAGCCTGCGCAGGTTCACTTCGGCTCGACTATACCGCAGGCGTTGGCTTCAAGTGCCTTCTTACAGGCTCCTCTACAAGCTGGATCTACGTCCGTTGTGCTGATCACTGACCGCAAAGCATTCATTTCTGTCCAAAACGGCTCCATATCCTGCTGAATAGCCTCCATGTTGCTACGTAACTTGGCTGTTTCTTCGTTGTGACTCTCGAAAATACCCTGTAGCACTTGCTCTTGAGTTTCGCCTGCAATTTCTCTACTTCCTTTTCCAACTCCGGCACTAGCTCCTCATTTTCGTGCACTTTTTGCCCAAATTGTTCTTCTGTTTCTTTAGCTCTTTCTTCTGCATTGACTGCAGCTCCTTCTGCTGTTCCTTGGCGTATTTTAGCTCTTCTCGCAACTTCGCTTCTTGCTTTTCAAAGTCAGCGTATTTCGACTTTGTCTCGTCCACTTGTTTGGCAAGCTCTTCACTCGTTGGTACAAAGCTTCAACAAACTGCAATTCTTCACGGTTTGTCGACATGCGTGCTAGCTCTGCTTGAATTAGGCCTGCAACTCATCACGTTTAGACTCACACAACTTGCGGTTCTTTGACGCCTCTTGGATCCAAAATTGGTACAGAATGTTTGTTGTCATGTACCCTTCCTTCTCTTTACGGAGATACTCAAGCGCTTCGGCACGAAATCCTTCCAGATGTGGGTTTTGCCATGGATTACTGCCTGATCTCATTGACGGTTCGCCATCTGCACGCTTCTCATTCTGGTCTTCTTCGAGCCTGCGCAGGTTCACTTCGGCTCGACTATACCGCAGGCGTTGGCTTCAAGTGCCTTCTTACAGGCTCCTCTACAAGCTGGATCTACGTCCGTTGTGTTGATCACTGACCGCAAAGCATTCATTTCTGTCCAAAACGGCTCCATATCCTGCTGAATAGCCTCCATGTTGCTACGTAACTTGGCTGTTTCTTCGTTGTGACTCTCGAAAATACCCTGTAGCACTTGCTCTTGAGTTTCGCCTGCAATTTCTCTACTTCCTTTTCCAACTCCGGCACTAGCTCCTCATTTTCGTGCACTTTTTGCCCAAATTGTTCTTCTGTTTCTTTAGCTCTTTCTTCTGCATTGACTGCAGCTCCTTCTGCTGTTCCTTGGCGTATTTTAGCTCTTCTCGCAACTTCGCTTCTTGCTTTTCAAAGTCAGCGTATTTCGACTTTGTCTCGTCCACTTGTTTGGCAAGCTCTTCACTCGTTGGTACAAAGCTTCAACAAACTGCAATTCTTCACGGTTTGTCGACATGCGTGCTAGCTCTGCTTGAATTAGGCCTGCAACTCATCACGTTTAGACTCACACAACTTGCGGTTCTTTGACGCCTCTTGGATCCAAAATTGGTACAGAATGTTTGTTGTCATGTACCCTTCCTTCTCTTTACAGAGATACTCAAGCGCTTCGGCACGAAATCCTTCCAGATGTGGGTTTTGCCATGGATTACTGCCTGATCTCATTGACGGTTCGCCATCTGCACGCTTCTCATTCTGGTCTTCTTCGAGCCTGCGCAGGTTCACTTCGGCTCGACTATACCGCAGGCGTTGGCTTCAAGTGCCTTCTTACAGGCTCCTCTACAAGCTGGATCTACGTCCGTTGTGCTGATCACTGACCGCAAAGCATTCATTTCTGTCCAAAACGGCTCCATATCCTGCTGAATAGCCTCCATGTTGCTACGTAACTTGGCTGTTTCTTCGTTGTGACTCTCGAAAATACCCTGTAGCACTTGCTCTTGAGTTTCGCCTGCAATTTCTCTACTTCCTTTTCCAACTCCGGCACTAGCTCTTCATTTTCGTGCACTTTTTGCCCAAATTGTTCTTCTGTTTCTTTAGCTCTTTCTTCTGCATTGACTGCAGCTCCTTCTGCTGTTCCTTGGCGTATTTTAGCTCTTCTCGCAACTTCGCTTCTTGCTTTTCAAAGTCAGCGTATTTCGACTTTGTCTCGTCCACTTGTTTGGCAAGCTCTTCACTCGTTGGTACAAAGCTTCAACAAACTGCAATTCTTCACGGTTTGTCGACATGCGTGCTAGCTCTGCTTGAATTAGGCCTGCAACTCATCACGTTTAGACTCACACAACTTGCGGTTCTTTGACGCCTCTTGGATCCAAAATTGGTACAGAATGTTTGTTGTCATGTACCCTTCCTTCTCTTTACAGAGATACTCAAGCGCTTCGGCACGAGGTCCTTCCAGATGTGGGTTTTGCCATGGATTACTGCCTGATCTCATTGACGGTTCGCCATCTGCACGCTTCTCATTCTGGTCTTCTTCGAGCCTGCGCAGGTTCACTTCGGCTCGACTATACCGCAGGCGTTGGCTTCAAGTGCCTTCTTACAGGCTCCTCTACAAGCTGGATCTACGTCCGTTGTGCTGATCACTGACCGCAAAGCATTCATTTCTGTCCAAAACGGCTCCATATCCTGCTGAATAGCCTCCATGTTGCTACGTAACTTGGCTGTTTCTTCGTTGTGACTCTCGAAAATACCCTGTAGCACTTGCTCTTGAGTTTCGCCTGCAATTTCTCTACTTCCTTTTCCAACTCCGGCACTAGCTCTTCATTTTCGTGCACTTTTTGCCCAAATTGTTCTTCTGTTTCTTTAGCTCTTTCTTCTGCATTGACTGCAGCTCCTTCTGCTGTTCCTTGGCGTATTTTAGCTCTTCTCGCAACTTCGCTTCTTGCTTTTCAAAGTCAGCGTATTTCGACTTTGTCTCGTCCACTTGTTTGGCAAGCTCTTCACTCGTTGGTACAAAGCTTCAACAGACTGCAATTCTTCACGGTTTGTCGACATGCGTGCTAGCTCTGCTTGAATTAGGCCTGCAACTCATCACGTTTAGACTCACACAACTTGCGGTTCTTTGACGCCTCTTGGATCCAAAATTGGTACAGAATGTTTGTTGTCATGTACCCTTCCTTCTCTTTACAGAGATACTCAAGCGCTTCGGCACGAAATCCTTCCAGATGTGGGTTTTGCCATGGATTACTGCCTGATCTCATTGACGGTTCGCCATCTGCACGCTTCTCATTCTGGTCTTCTTCGAGCCTGCGCAGGTTCACTTCGGCTCGACTATACCGCAGGCGTTGGCTTCAAGTGCCTTCTTACAGGCTCCTCTACAAGCTGGATCTACGTCCGTTGTGCTGATCACTGACCGCAAAGCATTCATTTCTGTCCAAAACGGCTCCATATCCTGCTGAATAGCCTCCATGTTGCTACGTAACTTGGCTGTTTCTTCGTTGTGACTCTCGAAAATACCCTGTAGCACTTGCTCTTGAGTTTCGCCTGCAATTTCTCTACTTCCTTTTCCAACTCCGGCACTAGCTCTTCATTTTCGTGCACTTTTTGCCCAAATTGTTCTTCTGTTTCTTTAGCTCTTTCTTCTGCATTGACTGCAGCTCCTTCTGCTGTTCCTTGGCGTATTTTAGCTCTTCTCGCAACTTCGCTTCTTGCTTTTCAAAGTCAGCGTATTTCGACTTTGTCTCGTCCACTTGTTTGGCAAGCTCTTCACTCGTTGGTACAAAGCTTCAACAAACTGCAATTCTTCACGGTTTGTCGACATGCGTGCTAGCTCTGCTTGAATTAGGCCTGCAACTCATCACGTTTAGACTCACACAACTTGCGGTTCTTTGACGCCTCTTGGATCCAAAATTGGTACAGAATGTTTGTTGTCATGTACCCTTCCTTCTCTTTACAGAGATACTCAAGCGCTTCGGCACGAAATCCTTCCAGATGTGGGTTTTGCCATGGATTACTGCCTGATCTCATTGACGGTTCGCCATCTGCACGCTTCTCATTCTGGTCTTCTTCGAGCCTGCGCAGGTTCACTTCGGCTCGACTATACCGCAGGCGTTGGCTTCAAGTGCCTTCTTACAGGCTCCTCTACAAGCTGGATCTACGTCCGTTGTGCTGATCACTGACCGCAAAGCATTCATTTCTGTCCAAAACGGCTCCATATCCTGCTGAATAGCCTCCATGTTGCTACGTAACTTGGCTGTTTCTTCGTTGTGACTCTCGAAAATACCCTGTAGCACTTGCTCTTGAGTTTCGCCTGCAATTTCTCTACTTCCTTTTCCAACTCCGGCACTAGCTCTTCATTTTCGTGCACTTTTTGCCCAAATTGTTCTTCTGTTTCTTTAGCTCTTTCTTCTGCATTGACTGCAGCTCCTTCTGCTGTTCCTTGGCGTATTTTAGCTCTTCTCGCAACTTCGCTTCTTGCTTTTCAAAGTCAGCGTATTTCGACTTTGTCTCGTCCACTTGTTTGGCAAGCTCTTCACTCGTTGGTACAAAGCTTCAACAAACTGCAATTCTTCACGGTTTGTCGACATGCGTGCTAGCTCTGCTTGAATTAGGCCTGCAACTCATCACGTTTAGACTCACACAACTTGCGGTTCTTTGACGCCTCTTGGATCCAAAATTGGTACAGAATGTTTGTTGTCATGTACCCTTCCTTCTCTTTACAGAGATACTCAAGCGCTTCGGCACGAAGTCCTTCCAGATGTGGGTTTTGCCATGGATTACTGCCTGATCTCATTGACGGTTCGCCATCTGCACGCTTCTCATTCTGGTCTTCTTCGAGCCTGCGCAGGTTCACTTCGGCTCGACTATACCGCAGGCGTTGGCTTCAAGTGCCTTCTTACAGGCTCCTCTACAAGCTGGATCTACGTCCGTTGTGCTGATCACTGACCGCAAAGCATTCATTTCTGTCCAAAACGGCTCCATATCCTGCTGAATAGCCTCCATGTTGCTACGTAACTTGGCTGTTTCTTCGTTGTGACTCTCGAAAATACCCTGTAGCACTTGCTCTTGAGTTTCGCCTGCAATTTCTCTACTTCCTTTTCCAACTCCGGCACTAGCTCTTCATTTTCGTGCACTTTTTGCCCAAATTGTTCTTCTGTTTCTTTAGCTCTTTCTTCTGCATTGACTGCAGCTCCTTCTGCTGTTCCTTGGCGTATTTTAGCTCTTCTCGCAACTTCGCTTCTTGCTTTTCAAAGTCAGCGTATTTCGACTTTGTCTCGTCCACTTGTTTGGCAAGCTCTTCACTCGTTGGTACAAAGCTTCAACAGACTGCAATTCTTCACGGTTTGTCTACATGCGTGCTAGCTCTGCTTGAATTAGGCCTGCAACTCATCACGTTTAGACTCACACAACTTGCGGTTCTTTGACGCCTCTTGGATCCAAAATTGGTACAGAATGTTTGTTGTCATGTACCCTTCCTTCTCTTTACAGAGATACTCAAGCGCTTCGGCACGAAATCCTTCCAGATGTGGGTTTTGCCATGGATTACTGCCTGATCTCATTGACGGTTCGCCATCTGCACGCTTCTCATTCTGGTCTTCTTCGAGCCTGCGCAGGTTCACTTCGGCTCGACTATACCGCAGGCGTTGGCTTCAAGTGCCTTCTTACAGGCTCCTCTACAAGCTGGATCTACGTCCGTTGTGCTGATCACTGACCGCAAAGCATTCATTTCTGTCCAAAACGGCTCCATATCCTGCTGAATAGCCTCCATGTTGCTACGTAACTTGGCTGTTTCTTCTTTGTGACTCTCGAAAATACCCTGTAGCACTTGCTCTTGAGTTTCGCCTGCACTTTCTCTACTTCCTTTTCCAACTCCGGCACTAGCTCTTCATTTTCGTGCACTTTTTGCCCAAATTGTTCTTCTGTTTCTTTAGCTCTTTCTTCTGCATTGACTGCAGCTCCTTCTGCTGTTCCTTGGCGTATTTTAGCTCTTCTCGCAACTTCGCTTCTTGCTTTTCAAAGTCAGCGTATTTCGACTTTGTCTCGTCCACTTGTTTGGCAAGCTCTTCACTCGTTGGTACAAAGCTTCAACAAACTGCAATTCTTCACGGTTTGTCTACATGCGTGCTAGCTCTGCTTGAATTAGGCCTGCAACTCATCACGTTTAGACTCACACAACTTGCGGTTCTTTGACGCCTCTTGGATCCAAAATTGGTACAGAATGTTTGTTGTCATGTACCCTTCCTTCTCTTTACAGAGATACTCAAGCGCTTCGGCACAAAATCCTTCCAGATGTGGGTTTTGCCATGGATTACTGCCTGATCTCATTGACGGTTCGCCATCTGCACGCTTCTCATTCTGGTCTTCTTCGAGCCTGCGCAGGTTCACTTCGGCTCGACTATACCGCAGGCGTTGGCTTCAAGTGCCTTCTTACAGGCTCCTCTACAAGCTGGATCTACGTCCGTTGTGCTGATCACTGACCGCAAAGCATTCATTTCTGTCCAAAACGGCTCCATATCCTGCTGAATAGCCTCCATGTTGCTACGTAACTTGGCTGTTTCTTCTTTGTGACTCTCGAAAATACCCTGTAGCACTTGCTCTTGAGTTTCGCCTGCAATTTCTCAACCTCCTTTTCCAATTCCGGCACTAGCTCCTCATTTTCGTGCACTTTTTGCCCAAATTGTTCTTCTGTTTCTTTAGCTCTTTCTTCTGCATTGACTGCAGCTCCTTCTGCTGTTCCTTGGCGTATTTTAGCTCTTCTCGCAACTTCGCTTCTTGCTTTTCAAAGTCAGCGTATTTCGACTTTGTCTCGTCCACTTGTTTGGCAAGCTCTTCACTCGTTGGTACAAAGCTTCAACAAACTGCAATTCTTCACGGTTTGTCGACATGCGTGCTAGCTCTGCTTGAATTAGGCCTGCAACTCATCACGTTTAGACTCACACAACTTGCGGTTCTTTGACGCCTCTTGGATCCAAAATTGGTACAGAATGTTTGTTGTCATGTACCCTTCCTTCTCTTTACAGAGATACTCAAGCGCTTCGGCACAAAATCCTTCCAGATGTGGGTTTTGCCATGGATTACTGCCTGATCTCATTGACGGTTCGCCATCTGCACGCTTCTCATTCTGGTCTTCTTCGAGCCTGCGCAGGTTCACTTCGGCTCGACTATACCGCAGGCGTTGGCTTCAAGTGCCTTCTTACAGGCTCCTCTACAAGCTGGATCTACGTCCGTTGTGTTGATCACTGACCGCAAAGCATTCATTTCTGTCCAAAACGGCTCCATATCCTGCTGAATAGCCTCCATGTTGCTACGTAACTTGGCTGTTTCTTCGTTGTGACTCTCGAAAATACCCTGTAGCACTTGCTCTTGAGTTTCGCCTGCAATTTCTCTACTTCCTTTTCCAACTCCGGCACTAGCTCTTCATTTTCGTGCACTTTTTGCCCAAATTGTTCTTCTGTTTCTTTAGCTCTTTCTTCTGCATTGACTGCAGCTCCTTCTGCTGTTCCTTGGCGTATTTTAGCTCTTCTCGCAACTTCGCTTCTTGCTTTTCAAAGTCAGCGTATTTCGACTTTGTCTCGTCCACTTGTTTGGCAAGCTCTTCACTCGTTGGTACAAAGCTTCAACAAACTGCAATTCTTCACGGTTTGTCGACATGCGTGCTAGCTCTGCTTGAATTAGGCCTGCAACTCATCACGTTTAGACTCACACAACTTGCGGTTCTTTGACGCCTCTTGGATCCAAAATTGGTACAGAATGTTTGTTGTCATGTACCCTTCCTTCTCTTTACAGAGATACTCAAGCGCTTCGGCACGAAATCCTTCCTATCGCACATCGAAGGTGTCGGCTATAGGGGTACCCTTCTTTGGACCGGCGTTTGATTCTACAGTACAACTTGTCTAAAATGTTTCTGCACTTACTGATAACCTGTCTAATCTGCTAACCTATGGTCAATCCCGAGAACGTCCATCCAATTAGTATAAAACTGCCGTATTTTGTAGCCTTTATTATCTTATAAAACCTTTTAGTGTCAGCTTAGACAGGTTCTTCTATACTATATACACTGCTGAGGCTTTGATTACACGTAAGAAACTGCAACTCTTGCAGATGAAAAAGAATTGGACCCTACTGCCTATTTTTCAATCGTGTAAGTGAACTAGAAGGTGAACCCTTACCCTCACAAATTTCATGTATCCATTCCGTTACCTGAATTTCAAGAAAAATTTGGCAATGTAGAAGCTAGTAGCCATATCACTGAGACCGTCTAAGTTGCTGGTCGACTTGTCAACTTCGTAATAAACGTTCTTCTGGAGCGAAATTGGTCTTTTATGATCTTCGTACCGATGGAAAAAGCTTCAAATAATGTCGGACATTGGATCCGATGAAAATGACCAAGCTTCTATCAAAATCCACAGCATTTTACGTCGTGGAGATATCATAGGGGTCTAAGAGTACCCTGGTAAATTCAAAAGGGTGAATTGCCGTATCCATTTATCGCAACAATTGGTACTATTGTCTCCTTGTATGCACATGCTGTCAAAAAGTCATACTGGACTCACTCTTCAACAGGACACACGGTATCGTCAAAGGTGATTGGATCTTATTATGAATGATGACACGCGTGGAGCATTTTCACTTGAGCCAAAATCATAAACGCCATTCGTCGATTTTTGTGCGATAAGAACTTTTTGGAAGTTGAGACTCAAATGGTGTAAATGATTGTCGGAGGTGCTGCTGCAAAACCTTTTGTTACGTATCACAATGATCTGCACATGAACTTGTTTAACCGTTAAGTTTATGGAGAGCGTGCGTTTTCACCAGTGAAATGCCCGTCATCCGTGCCAGCATCGATGAGTTGCTCACGTTGATCCGCCTTCATGCTGTAACGTTCGTAGATGGCTTCAACCTCTCGGATCACATGTTGAACTCGACTCTCGACCGGTATGACGGTAACGTATACGAGGCTCTGTAAAAGTCTGCGCAGTACGATCCTCTGAATCACTCGTCGGACAAGGTCGCGGTGTACGAGTTGCTACACCCGATTTGCGTTGAAATATCACAGTCATGTCTGGAAGAGGTTGGTGTTAAAAAGAGCTTGGGTCGTCTACTTGAAAAACCAAGTACACACGAATTTCTACTGTAAGAAGCCACGATTTGTGCAATGCCATTTGCCACAACGTGCGAACTAACTTCAACATGGGCGATACAACGATCAAGTCACTGACAAGCGAATATTAGTGACCTTTCATTATTAAATTTGCGTTGTGGCTTGCACCTCAAGATTGACTTGTCAGTGGCACTAAGCTCAGTGATAAAAGCGACTGAACTTGGGCTTTTCCCCTGAGCAATCGACGGTGGCCACGGAGACTGGGTAGACGGTGAGGCCATACAAAATTTGACTTTTGGAGGGACTGAGACAATTACAAATAATAGCGACGTAGTAAGCGAAGCAGCAGCAGCAGCAGCACCCGGTCGATGTGGAATCCTGATGGGTAATGTCGGCTACACCATGTAAGGAGGAACATATCAATCAAACCTATTCCTCCTCGTTACTGTCTTCATCCTCGGTGTGCTCCTCCTTTTGCTCAAAGATTGCTTCGCCTCGGTCAGCAATCTTGCTCTTCTTTTGACGCTTCCAAGCGGGCAAATCTGATTCATCCTCGAAAACACTCGCACTGTGTTCTTGCTCCGTGATGAAAGCTGTTTGGAGAGACGTGAGTTTTGCTTTACAGTATGTCTCTTCTTTGCGTTTTCTTCCAGCATTTTTCGCAGACCTCCAAGATGTTGGATAGCTGTCTCATACGCGCGCGTAATCGCCACGGCAAACTGCTGCGTCTGAAGATCCGCCGCCGCCGCGCGCTCAGAGCCGATACACGATCCTCAGCCCTGACTTCTCGCACCGCGCCACAAGCGCGTCCTTCTCCTCCGGGCAAGCCGCCACCTCGGCATTCTTCTGCGTCTAAAGCTCCGCAGATGCGCGCTCTGTGCCGATAAACGATCCTCAGCCCTGTCTTCTTGCGCCGCGCCACAAGCGCGTCCTTCTCCTCCGGGCAAGCCGCCACCACGGCATTATTCTGCGTCTAAAGCTCCGCAGATGCGCGCTCTGTGCCGATAAACGATCCTCAGCCCTGAATTCTCGCGACGCGCCACAAGCGCGTCCTTCTCCTCCGGGCAAGCCGCCACCACGGCATTATTCTGCGTCTAAAGCTCCGCAGATGCGCGCTCTGTGCCGATAAACGATCCTCAGCCCTGACTTCTCGCGCCGCGCCGCAAACGCGTCCTTTTCCTCCGCGCGCGCTGCCGCCACGGCATTCATTTGTGTTTGACGCTTCGCCGCCGCGCGCTGCGAGCCGATAAACGATCCTCCAGCACTGACTTCTTGCGCCGCGCCGCATGCGCGTCCTTCTCCTTCTCGCGCGCTGCCGCCATGGTATTCTTTTGTGTCTAAAGCTCCACCGCCGCGCGCTGCGAGCCGTTAACGATCCTCCAGCACTGACTTCTTGCGCCGCGCCGTAAGCGCGTCCTTCTCCTTCTCGCGCGCTGCCGCCACGGCATTCTGCTGTGTCTAAATTTCTGCAGCCGCGCGCTGCGAGTCGATAACGATCCTCCAGCACTGACTTCTTGCGCCGCGCCGCATGCGCGTCCTTCTCCTTCTCGCGCGCTGCCGCCACGGCATTCTTTCGTGTCTAAAGCTCCGCCGCCGCGCTGCGAGCCGATACACGATCCTCCAGCCCTGACTTCTCGCGCCGCGCCACAAGCGCGTCCTTCTCTTCCGCGCGCACAGCCACCACGGCATTATAGCGTGTCTACAGCTCCGCCGCCGCGCGCTGCGAGCCGATAACGATCCTCCAGCACTGACTTCTCGCGCCGCGCCGCATGCGCGTCCTTCTCCTTCTCGCGCGCTGCCGCCACGGCATTCTTTCGTGTCTAAAGCTCCGCCGCCGCGCTGCGAGCCGATACACGATCTTTGAGCACTGACTTCTTTCGCCGCGCCACAAGCGCGTCATTCTCCTCCGCGCGCGCTGCCGCCACGACATTCTTTTGTGTCTAACGCTCCGCCGCCGCGCGCTGCGAGCCGATAACGATCTTTGAGCACTGACTTCTTTCGCCGCGCCGTAAGCGCGTCCTTTTCCTCCGCGCGCGCTGCCGCCATGGCATTCATTTCTGTCTATCGCTCCGATACCGCGCGCTGCAAGCCGATAAACGATCTTTTAGCACTGACTTCTTGCGCCGCGCCGTAGGCGTCCTTCTCCTTCTCGCGCGCTGCCGCCACGGCATTCTTTCGTGTCTAAAGCTCCGCCGCCGCGCTGCGAGCCGATACACGATCCTCCAGCCCTGACTTCTCGCGCCGCGCCACAAGCGCGTCCTTCTCTTCCGCGCGCACAGCCACCACGGCATTCTGCTGCGTCTGAAGCTCCTCAGACGCGCGCTCAGAGCCGATACACGATCCTCCAGCACTGACTTCTTGCGCCGCGCCGCATGCGCGTCCTTCTCCTTCTCGCGCGCTGCCGCCATGGTATTCTTTTGTGTCTAAAGCTCCACCGCCGCGCGCTGCGAGCCGTTAACGATCCTCTAGCACTGACTTCTTGCGCCGCGCCGTAAGCGCGTCCTTCTCCTTCTTGCGCGCTGCCGCCATGGTATTCTTTTGTGTCTAAAGCTCCACCGCCGCGCGCTGCGAGCCGTTAACGATCCTCCAGCACTGACTTCTTGCGCCGCGCCACAAGCGCGTCCTTCTCTTCCGCGCGCACAGCCACCACGGCATTCTGCTGCGTCTGAAGCTCCTCAGACGCGCGCTCAGAGCCGATACACGATCCTCCAGCACTGACTTCTTGCGCCGCGCCGCATGCGCGTCCTTCTCCTTCTCGCGCGCTGCCGCCATGGTATTCTTTTGTGTCTAAAGCTCCACCGCCGCGCGCTGCGAGCCGTTAACGATCCTCTAGCACTGACTTCTTGCGCCGCGCCGTAAGCGCGTCCTTCTCCTTCTTGCGCGCTGCCGCCATGGTATTCTTTTGTGTCTAAAGCTCCACCGCCGCGCGCTGCGAGCCGTTAACGATCCTCCAGCACTGACTTCTTGCGCCGCGCCGTAAGCGCGTCCTTCTCCTTCTCGCGCGCTGCCGCCACGGCATTATAGCGTGTCTACAGCTCCGCCGCCGCGCGCTGCGAGCCGATAACGATCCTCCAGCACTGACTTCTCGCGCCGCGCCGCATGCGCGTCCTTCTCCTTCTCGCGCGCTGCCGCCACGGCATTCTTTCGTGTCTAAAGC